GTTGACAAATTAAAGTTTTTATGTTCTGGTTTTATTTCTCTTCTTTTGATTTTCTCCTTTAAAATAATTTATTATACTTACGATTATACCAGTGTTTAATAGTAGAAAAATATTAACAATTTATGGAGTGTAATTTTTATTTCACTATTCAGATTGAAATGTGATATTCCAAATACTATTGAATTCTTGCATCAGTGGTACCGTAGAAAACGGACACTTCTAGTCAACTTAAAGAAGGCTTTCGGCACGTTATCGTTCTTAGGGGCTAAGATGGAAATGGAATATAAGAGAATAGATTTAGAGAATCTAAATCTTCTGCCCAAAAAGATTTATCAATCTCTTTCCCTTCTTTAAATTAAATATTAACTTGAAATTGAACCAGAAAGACGCTATTGTAAGTTTTAAAGATATAAGTTACAAAAACAAACAAAATACTTGCCTTAATAATGTGATAATGATAAGTGATAATAAAGAAAGTGCTCTCAACTCTTTGATATTGGGTCATATTTCGTAAGACGAAAGGAATTTTCATTATTATTTATTAACAAATAATCAGAATCTCTGTACAACGTTCAATTTATATTACAAAAATTATAATAATGTACTTAACTAAAATAATAATTAAAATTATAATATTTACGATTAAAATTAATTATATACAATATAAAAGAAGAAACTATAATATAGAAAATCTAAAACTAAACATTTAAATAGTCAAATAAACTGCTCCCCGCAGGGCAAAAACGCTGGCGCGAAGTGAAACTTCGGGGAAGAAAAAACCCTCACACCACAAACCCCCCCCCAGGAAGGCAACACACCGCCCCCGGGCCCCCCCCCAGACCAAAGTCATACCGTAGGGTCTCTTGTCATCGTCTATAAATATCCCGCAAGGCTCTAAAACCGAGGGGATATTTATGGAGACAAGAGCCCTTCGGACGACTTCGTTCGAAGAACCGTGACGGGAAAACCTACCTGCACTTTTCTTGCATGAAAGTCGGTGGAGCCCAAACAAACAAATGTTGACAAATTGCCACTCCTAGCCGGATTCCTACGGCGATGCGCAAGCTTTCTCCATCAAGCAATGTGCCGAGATTACTTGATGGTAGAGCATGTAACCAGTGGCTAGATTCCTTAGTTGAAACAGCTAGAAGGCGAGCCTGATCTTGTTGAATGTAGAAATTTTGAAATAAATTTTTCTGGACACTCCGTACCAACGTAATATCCCACTGTTTTTGTTGGTTAACTTCCAGTGGGACATTTTCGCCGGGACAGAGCGTTAGCCATGTTTGCCTTGCCTCTACAGCAAAGCACAGGTCTACTTTATTATTTAAAATTGTGTTACATAGATCATTGACACTATGCACGGAAGCAAGGAAAGCAGGCAATGCGACCAAATTTGATAGGTAAAGTGGCTTGATTCCAGTTGACAGTTTTTATTCTTGGAGAAATCTGATTGAAATTTTGAATTAAGGTATCTGTTAGAATTAGGTAAATTATTAGAAATAAATATTTCACATTTATTGGTATTTGATTCAAGACCAATGTTTTTAAAATTTTGAAAAATATGAGTAAGATCATTGAGGACGTCATATGCTTTACCTCCCAGTGTACCGTCGTCCAGATTCCAGACATTCAGCTTGGATTTTAAATTTGAAATAATAGGTTCAATTCCCAAACTGAAAAGAGCTGCACCTAATGGATCACCCTGCTGAACACCGACAGCAGACTCAATAATATGGTTTTGATTTCAAAACTGTTTTGATATAACAAGTTTGAATTTTGACTGTAACATTGCCAAACGTAATGATATATTTCGGGGGGTATTGTTAGCCACTTCTTTCAGCAGGGTTATCCTATCAATAGAGTTAAAAGCATTTCTAAGATCAACCTTCAGAACATCTGCATTGGAATTAGTTAAGAAAGTACGCACCGAATGTACCGCCGCCTCACAGTAACCTTTGGTGCCAAAGCCTAGTTGAGTAGGTTGAAATTTTGTCTTCAGGTTTGAGATTATGTGCCTGCAAGCTAATTTTGGAGTTAAGCGTCGAAATGTAGAACCAACAGCAATAGGACGGATACCGTTATCCTTTTTTTTTGAAGGCACACAATCTTGCCCCATATAAGTAGGGAATGAAATTGGGATTGACATTACCAGAAAGCATAAAATTACATAATTTTGTTATGTCATTAAGAAGTACCCTACCGGCATCAATGGCAGATACACTTACAAGATCTTTGAGATGCTGAGGCGTAATCCCGTCAATGCCGTCGGCAGAGCCATTCGAAAATGACAATATTGCGTCTAAAGTGTCTTTTTCAGAAATTTGTAAAGGTTGCATAGAAGTATTGGGAGGCAGCGGTAAATTCTGGGAAGGATTGGCCGAAGGATGTTTCTGACGAAGGCCTTCAAGAGTTTCGACATTACGAGGAGCGAGGATGTCATCTGAGAATTGAATACGGGATGCATTTTTTAAGTCGCCGTCCATTACTTTTGATTCAACTACTTTTTTTTAAATCAAATTTAGGATAAGGTCGAGAGAAATGAGTATTAATCGGGTAATCCAAATTTTGAAAAGAATTTTCTTTTAGTTGAGATGTAATTGATTTATTTATTGTTTAATTAAAATGAAAATGGGAATACGCGAATGTAAATAGTTTTTGCCAACTCTTTTCACAATTAGTTAGACAATTTTGAATAGTGAATGATGATAATGCTTTAGCAAGTTGCATCCAAGTCAAATCAAATTCCAATCAAATTCCTATACAAATTGTATAATTGTTCCGAAAAAAAGTGAAGAATTTGTGTCATTAGGTATATTACTAGAAAAGTCATGAATTTCTACGGTAGGCTGTGAAGCCGAAATACTTTTACTCGTCGGCATCGTTTAATGTGTATATTTAATCCCTTTTTACCTTTAAACAGCCTACCGTCAGTACAATTTTGACACCGTAGGAAATCCGGCTGTGAATGTATTGGAGCGATAATATTCATAGAAAAAGTAAAAAATTAAAAATGTAAAAATATATCTACAGCACTCAAAAGTCTATAATTTAGTATAAACCAAAATCTTAAAATTAAAAGAAAAACCTAGTTCTCGAGCTTTGTTTATCGCCTTGAAGCAATCTAATATTAATATTGTGTACGATGAATCACCAGGCGTTGCATCTTGAAGTGACCTACAACTATAACCGTTTACAGTTGATGGTTTGAAAGCTTCTTTTGGTGACAATCTCAATAAAACGCTCAAGCATCTCAATAAAAACGCGGCATTCGTTGTTTTCTTGGGATCAGTAGAAGTGTAGTGAGCATTGATTTTGTTATTTTGACGTTGTTCTATTTTCTCATTTAATATTCCCTTAAAGTTCTCCCTGGCATTATTGTTGCAAAATAAAATATATTCTTGGTGTATTCGGCCATTGATTTCGTGTCATCACTTTAGGCAAACGAACTTGTAAATATATTATCACATATTCATTAATATTGAAATATGTTATTTACACAAAACATTATTTTTCGGAATCTCAGGAATAAAATATAAATATATTTTAATTAAAATATTTGGTTAAAATATACGACAGTTGTCCGTAAGACTTAAAAAGATCGCTTTAATATATTATATCACTCTATTCTAAAGGATTGTAGAGCAGTGGCATGTGATAACCTTTTTTACACTACTTCTACAGATAACGCACTGAGATAACAATTGACGGCAATGAAATGCACGTTACTTAGTTTTAAAAACAAAAATGTGATCAATTTTCAATAAATATAAGCCGTCAACACTGTATAACCTTATACAGTAAATATTTTTGAACTTTCTTGTTAATTGAAAGATAAAGGAGTTTTTTATTTTAATGTTCCTAAAATCTTATTTTAAAATTCGATCTATGTAAGTAACTGTTTTATTCATTGAACTGGTGATTGACAGCCTATTTCTTTAACATATTTCTATGAAACTAACAAAACAAAAAACATGTGTTCCGAATTTTTATATTAAAATCAACGAGTGTTTCTGTAAATATAATTGTAGAGCATTTATAAAAATATTGTGGAGTAAAATGAGTAAGAGTTTCTTGATAAAATTATCACATTTACGGACGTTTCCGATGCAAAAAAAAGTTAAGGTACTTGTAACATGTCCAATAACACGTGACAAGTTTTGAGTTAATTATAGCATCTCTCATAATAAAACACACATTTAGCTGCGCGCGGAGTAATTAGAAACCCGAGAAGGGAGTTGAGATGTGTTTTTGTATCAATTAATTTCATTAGGCAATTCTAATGCGGTCCAATAAAGATCGCACAACATGTTTGTATGATTTGAACATCTATTTAGGTCTCTTGAAATTACGCTCATTGAATAAAACTATTATTTACTGATTTTATCGCGTTTAATTACTACTTTAATTTATTTTTATTATCCCATACCTTTAAACGGCGTTGCGTAAATCGGACCAAAAATTAATATTCAAAAACTGAAGGTAGACGGACTAACTATGACATTCGGACGTCAAACATCTCAGTCCCCTCCGTGACCATGGGTGTTGTAAAGCACCCGAAACGTCGGGATAATAAAAATAAATTAAAGTAGTAATTAAGCGCGATAAAATCCGTAAATAATAGTCTTATTAAATCTATTTAGGTCGTTGATTTAGTTTATGGACGTCCAAAATCCACGAGAGCTTATACCTATACTGAAGGAACTTAATAAATTATTAAATAATGTAAACAATTTGATCATGTTTAGATTTTATGTCGCCTTTTATACACTTTATTTAAAATGTATAAGCGAAGTGAATTATTATAGTCTCGTGTCATAAAGTGATTTATGAGTTGTTGTTAAAGTAAAACGCATCTAACTTCGGGCCACAGAGTAAATCTAGTTCGTGGTATGGGATATTCTTTGATGATTACGGATGCACATAATACATTGTTAGATGAAAGTATTTGGGAATTTTAAATATTATTTTATTTGTAGCTGAAAATATTTTCTTTTCAGATGTCGTTGGGCTCGACCATTCGCGAGGAGAGAATACAAAATATTTATAAGTTCTGCACCCCTGATTTAGTAAGTATATCAAATTGTTATTGTTTTAGTATAATTAGTGAACAAGTGGGAAAAATAAACATTTTGTACAACCGACTTCAGTATAAATAAAATGAGAACATCATCAATGTATTCGAAGTCAATTTAATACGCATTATTAAGGATAACTCAAAACTACTGGTAAGATCTTGATCAAATTTATATGTTGCCTCACGAGAAGCACCATTTTTCAAATAAAATAAGAACCATTAAAATCGAATTGAATATCTGCTTCTTTTTGAGGTTGGTTAAAAATATTACACAAAGTTAGAATTAGATCTTTTGTTTTAATTACTAAAAACTACACGTAATTATACTATGCATACGTGTATCAAGTTGGACGTAAAATGGTATTTAAATTTTATGATAAGAGTGACAAATGAGTTGGTGTCTCCACCTGACGATAAGCTGTTAGTAGACGTAAAAGGATTCAGACGCTTTGTCATCTTCAAATCGAAATATAGTAGTGGTGGCACTGCTGCAGAAATAAGCACTTACCTAGACAAATTCCTAAGTAAAAAAGCCTAATGTCAGTAGTATAATTGTATTTAATACTTTATACGTGATAGAGCCATGTTGCACCTATACAACACGTAACAAAAACCCTGTGGTTCCCGTTAACTGCGTTATCAGAAGCGTAAACAAATAATTTTTTATCAAGCGTAAACAAATAATTTTTTTCAGAAAACTCGACCATTTTTAAAAAAAAATTAAATAAAAAAAAAAGATATTTGCAAATTGTATGTGGTTTTATTTCCTCTAACTAACACGAGTATCGGTAATGCGGGGTCTTTGACAATCCTCTTACTCCTCGGCCAATGCAGAGATAATAAAACCACATACAATTTGAAAATTATTTGTTTTAATTAAAATAAAAAAATTAAATGTTTTAAAAAAAAAACTATTCCTATACGCTTGAATGTTGATTCTAATGACGCACTTAACGGGAACCACAGGGTTTTTGTTACTAGTTGTATAAGTAGTATAGTTGTATAAGTAGTATAGTTGTAGCACGAATGGGTTGGCTCGACCGGAGAAGGACCACGCTCTCACAGAATACCAGCGTAAAATAGTAGCTTAATGCTGCTGTGTTTCGTATGGTGAGTGTAGAGAAGCGGAGACCATTTTACTAGAAATGAAGCATTCCATCTTAGTCCTCATGGGTGACAGCTCATTTGCATTTTAAATCGTAATTGAGGATAGATGTAGATGCCTATGGGCCGTACCAACCACTTACCATCAGGTGGACGGTGTGCTCGTTTGCCTATAAAAAACATTTCAATACTCCCGGGGTTGACTGAGAAAGTCTGCCCTTTGTGACTCTTTTATTTAAGGTAATTTCTATAAAGCATTAATAAATAAATAGTAGTTTTAATGGTATCACCGAGGATCGAAATCGAACTCGAGTTGTTCTTTTTTTTAAATAAAACTGAAGTCACAAGCGAACTTTATTCCAACCGATGGTAACTGGAATTCCATGGACACCTGCAGCTGACTCCATACAAAGAAGGCTGCAGATGCTCCGTCACCCCTGAGCACTGAGATGGAATGCCTCACAGTCTGTATCATACTGGCTTTCTATATCCTTTAGACCGTAACACAGCAACGCAAAGACTATTTGATGGAGGCAATAAATAATAGGATGGTTCTTACCCAGACAGACTCATCGGCAGAGAAGGAGGTCCTACTTCATTTGATCTTTATCACTTAATCAACTAATCATCATCATCATCATAATCATCATCATCAGCAGCAGCAGCAGCATCATAATCATCACCCCACAGATTGCCTCATAGGAGGGGGAGGTGATTTTGCCGTAGTTGCCACGCTTGGCGGGCGGGTTGTCAACCGCAGTTTTTTTATTATTTTGAGTTGTGATCAGGAAGATGTTGCTGTCCATCACCTGTTTTAATTTCTCTCTGTCGCCTCTTACGACACCCACGGAACGATATGGGGTAGTGGATATTCTAACATCGTCACTACATATGTCAGCTAATAGTCCATTGATTGACATAGGCATCTCCAATTGCAGTCTATTGCTATATCTTCGTATATCGTTCTATATATAGCGCACAGTACTAGGAAACTTTGATAGCGTGATTCGAACTTTAGTGTGTTTCGCTTTTGTAAGTACGAGCACTATGCTCGAATTTGTTGACGAGTACGTTTACCTGGGACAAATAGTCCGACTAGGTAAGTCCAACTTCGACCGAGAGGTCAATCGACGGATTCAACTCGGCTGGGCAGCGTTCGGGAAATTACGACATATCTTCTCGTCAGGAGATATGTCGTAATTTCCCGAACATAGCATAGAACATAGCCATACAATTGTTTGCATTTTGTGAAAAAAAAAAAAAAAATATATATATATATATATATATATAAATATAATGTAATAATTGATGTAATCGTTCAATTATAAGCGTAAGGGTCAGCTCACACCGAGAAGTGACGCAACCCAATGCGGCTCGCACTTTTTAAGATAGTGATACAAAATATTACTTTATTTACTACACAAAAAGATACACATTTTATTGAGATAATTTAAAAATGCTCCGTGGCATCGCTCTACGCCCCGCTGCGATTCGAGATGCTCGCAGCGTAGCGCAACGCATCACGACGCAGCGTGCAATAGCGGTACGCTGCCACTTCATGATGCGCCTCGCGACGCTGAGATGCACCTCGCGGTGGCGCACAGAGCGGTGCGAAACCACTGGCTTCTTCAAACATCGTCGCGTCGCGTCGTATCTCGGTGTGAACTGACCCTAACGGAGCAAGGTTCAATAAAATTTTCGACGTTTTGAATCAGATAATTGCAGTGAATTTAGATAATTCTATCCCATTGGGGAGAGAACATGTAAGACGATACCTTACATTCATTTCATTGGGCTCGCATCCACAGTGAAACCGTCCTTTTTTCATTTGTCAATAAACCGCCTATCGGTATTGTATTGTAATTGGGGATGTCTTTACATCGGTCTTGAGTTACTTGTGGGGCGTATTATCGGGTTACCGTCGCGTAATGGCCTAGTACAAAATACGATTACCAGAATAAAGGTACTATCTGTCGCTTATTGTATTTTTACAGATCGAGTTCTGGATATGCATGAATCAAACAATTCAAGGTAAGTTAAACGAAACTGGAATTCTTGACGTTTATTGTCTAACTCATGCTTTAGACTTCTTCGCACTAATACTCTTGTTCTATATTACAGTACGGGCTTCTCCCATCATCATCATTGCAATTATGGTCCTTAACAAGTCCAATGCTGAACATAGGCCTCCCCCACAGAATGCCACAAAGGTCGATCCTGAGCCACCTGCATATATATTCAGGGCTTCTTCCGTAGTAGATTTGATTGTAGTCGCTACGTTTGGTCCAATGTTACGCGTAGGTATGTCAAAAATGTAAAAAAAGAAGTTAAGCGATTTTTAATAATAAATAAAAACCCCATAACGATAGGGTTTATTCACATTATTATACAAGCAATACAGCTATAGTTAAGGGGTATAGGCAATTGAACAATTACCATTAGGTGGACTATACGTTCGCATTTTCTAAAAACATATTTTTTCTTTTTAAGAAGTGGTATCGGGGTCAGGCTGGTGGGGCAAAACATGTTGCGCCTTGGCTCACAGCGGACAGTGCCGGCACGCCTGTGCCACGGCTAGTGACGCTCGAGCCCTCTCGCCAGTATGTCGTCGCTCTGATGAGATCGCCTTCTTTGACTGCGTGCAGCGGCAGCAGGAAGCGCAGTGGTGCTGCTGTGAGTATGCTTGTTTATAGGAAAATGCTTACACATGCCTGCCTCGCGGAGGCTTTGAGTTTGCCCCGTTTTGACGGCCAAGGAAACGCTTTCTCAATCATCCACGGCCTCACCAATGCTTGCTGCCGCGTTGGCACCCTTCCTCGGAAGAGTACAATTGCTTCCCTTACTTCCTGTTCAGGTATAGGGCGCACCGCAACAAGGCATTTTAGTGTTCCGGCGCATCTTGCTCTTTAAAAAAAAAGATAAAAACGATACCCCTACTGTATCGTAGAAGTAGTTTACATAAATATAATATATTCCGTAAGGACAAACATCTAGACCCCGAAAAATTATTTGTGTGCCGTGCCACTTGTTTCGTGTGGGATTCAACTTGTCTTTTGTAAAAAAATCACAAATTTTTAAACGCATTCTTCGTCTACTACAAAAGCATTACCTTTGAAGGAGCACATATTTATAATAAGATTTATAATAAATTGCCTTGTAATATAAAAAATGTAAGCTCATTTAGTAGTTTTAAGTTTCAGCTATTACCATACATAATTGAACATTTTTCACCACTAAATTGAGGCTATGAAGTTACTGACTGAGTGTTCGGCGACCATTAGAATAAGTATACTAAAATGTAATTATTATTTTCATGTAAGTGGCATTGTTTGTCTTTTTTGAAAATAAAATTTCTTTAAACTCATTCGAGCCCGCGGTCTTCAGCGTTGCAGCTCGTTGTCAAGCCCCTGCGCCACGAAGTCGTCAAAGTGCCTTTCCTTTATCTTATACAAATACTGTTGAATAATGTTCGAAAACAGTAACGTTTACAAATTAGTTGTATAAAGCACCAACTGCCTGCAGCGCAGACGGTGTCGCTGACCTGCCACGAGGTGTGCGAGAGCGTGGTGTGGCGAGTGGGATTGGGCCGTTTCGATTCCTCGCTCACAGACCACGCCGCCGAGGTCTGTGAGGGCTCGCCCGTCCTACTGCGATGTCTGTACGACCTTACTGCATCCACGGTGCACACCGATACTTCTAAATGTGAGTAACACATCCCGAATAGAACTCATATTATTTAAGAATAAAATCAAATAGTAAAATTTTAGTCGCAGCTACTTAAATGGTTTCTCTGATTTGTTTAATTTGGTGTTTAATTTTTTTCTTTATGCCTTTATTTTAATCAGGCATATTTGATAGAGACATTTTTTGAAGAAAACAAAATACTTGATGCATACATAAACTATTACTTATACCTTATATATTAGTAATATACTACATTATTGATTAATAATGCTAACAACTACATTTTAGCGCATTTCATCGATATAATAAATTTAAATTCTCACTGTAGATTTACCATGTTGCCAAGAGTCAGCAAGTTCGGAGTGCCGCAAGAACTGCGAGGAGGTTCTTCATCGCACGGGGGAGTCGCAGGAGATTGCAGACGCTTTGGCTTTGAACTGCGGGGCACCAGCGATACATGACGAACTGTGGCAGTGCTTTCTGAGAAAGGATGCACCTGTCAATACTAAGAACTTCGTCCCGTATGACGCTGCTAAGCTGCATTGCTGCGAAAAAGTAATTTCAACAACACATATTTTGTAACAAATTAGTAGTTAAAAAAAGAAATTTTGTGAACATAAATTTCGATTTTCAAGTGAAATGTTTTAGCAGACTTCAAAAAATTGACGAGTCTTACATTCGATTGTATGTTTTTTTTGTATATACGTTACACTTACACGATATCTTCGTCAATTTTCTTCTTCTCTAATTTTCGTCTTTTTTATAAAGGTTATTCAGGGAAAATAATTGTTTAAATGTAATTATTCAGACGACATTTGAGCTTATTATATTCCTTAGTCCACCCAAAAGGGTAAAAAAAACTTTTAGTAAAAAGTAAAGATCCACCTTATACGTAAAACATTTTTTGAGCGCCAACTTCAGTAGGTACTTGAAATTCATACTGAAGTTGGCGCTTTTTGTCCTTGCACCGACTTCAAAACGTGAAGTTATATTATAAAAAGAACAATTTTTAGTTGTTTAAAGTCTGCGTTTACTTTTTATCAATGGTTAATTTTAATTAATTTAAGTTTTATTTCATTATTATAATTAAAGTCGTTTGCTTTAAATAGGAATTATTTATCCAAATCTAAACATATTATTCATGCTCAATTCCTATAACATTCAAGAAACGTTTTGTTGGTCGCTAATATTCGTTTTTTTTTAAATGTAAGAGGTTCATGGTAAAGCAGTTCTTTTGGTAACAATAAATAAAATTAAAATGCCAATTGCCAAATCATTTGCCATTCGTAAGTTTTTGAACCGGTAAATATTTTGTTTTTGTTTGTCGGATGGTTTTTTCAAACACTTTTTCATTGGAAAAGAGTCGTAAAATAAAAACTAAACGATTAACTCGATCATTTGGCATTTTGACGTATTAAGAGGGTAGACGGTCTGCGCGGGAATTTAAAAATAGGTATTTGAAGAATCTATTGCCGTCCCTCACCTCTGGTCGCCACCCGAAGAGTGCGATAGAGACAACTGCAGCTCAAAACGATATTACCTACAAAAACCATGATCGATCGTCGTTTCGTATGCCCCTGTTTTCTCCTCGAAAACTAAGCCAATTAAATTATTTTTGGTATCAATATTTAAAGGAAGAATAGATCTATGCTTCTATTATTTGATTTTATCTTAAAAACTTTCAAATTTCTTTGGTAGTCGTCTGATTACGGAGGTAACAACGGGGCGTTTTTTTTAGGTTTTTGGAAAGTCATATTCATTTTTGTAATAATTTTTTGCAAAAAGTAAATGCCTTCAATAGAGCTAGGTTTTTATAAACATATACAATTACTCTAGAGGCATTATCCATTTATTTTTTTGAATTTCAGGCTGTCACAATTAACTGTAAAAGACTATGCTTTGAAACTTTTAACATTGGCTGGCCGACCAACGGACAGAAGTTCTACAGTGATTGTCTGGTAGATCCGCAGGAGATGATGTTGATTGAATGCATCGAAGAAGGTACATCTTATTTATATCGGAATGTGTATCTATATTTTAATATTAAGTACCGTTTTCGTTATGTGGTGTGCCGGAATCCATCATACCTTTTCATCACACGGTTATCGTAAGATGTGACATAGGGAAATGCTAGAAAGATGTTGTGTGCAAAAATTGGTTTATCATCTTTTATATAAGATGTAAATTACCCTGATTGGTGACGGGGAAGCAGCGTAAAAGGTATGAGATATCATTACGATTATGTAACTTTGGTTGAATCGTTGCCGGTGGGAATCACTTCGCAACTGCGCAGTTTTGTTCACAACATGTTTTTTCCATTACAATGATATTTGGTAGCCTCTCTAAGTAATGTGATAATATAAAATCATCTCATTCGCTATGATACATATACACAATGTAGTTTGACTTTTTTTATAGGAGAGGGGGAAACAAGCATACGGCTCACCTGATGGGCAGTGTACCTCCGCCCACGAACAACTGTAACATCATGGAAAATGCATAATATGCGTTGCCGGCCTTTTAAAAAAGAGTAGGCTCTTTTCTTGAAGGTCCCTAAATCGTATCGGTCCGGAAAAATCTCTGGTGATAGTCGATTCCACAAGGAAGTTGTGTAAGGAAGAAAACTTACTTTAAATCGCACGGTGGTGGACCGCCAGTCATCCAGATGGTATGGATGGTATTGCGAGTGACGTTTCGATATATTGGCTATATCTAGGAAATAAGTTACAAAATAAATAAATAAACAGGGAATAATAGAATATCTTTACCCCATATCGTCCCGTGGGCGTCGTAAAAAATGTCAGGGGTAATAAACCAGGAGATGAACAGAAGCAAATTACTATAACAACAAGAAAAAAAACTACGGTTGCCACACTGTCTGAGAAGGTGCCATGCCTGGCAACTTTGGCAAATAGCCCCCTTATGAGGCAACGTATGGGGAGTTCAGCAGAGGACGTAGATCAACTGTAATGAAATAGAAAAAATAAATAGTCTAAAGGACAGTGTATCGGTTGTCTGATTAGTGGACGCACCGTGCTCGCTGGGCTGCGCGGGTCTAACGTACTGTAGCCAGCTCAACAACCGGCCGACCACTTTGTTCCGCTCCTGTTCCGCGCAGGCAGACCTTAACGCGCATGTTGCAGTCGCAGAGAGGAAAGATAAAGGGTGAGTCAATTTTTTTTTAATAACCCTTTACTCAAATATTGGGCAGAACGCGCAAATACCACGAAGCCACTAACCAATTCTAAAACAGAAGACAGGTAGATAGAAACGCGTCGAGTCGTACAAACTAATAATGAGATGCAAATTTTTAAAGATAAACAAGAGACTATCGATCTATTATTGATGAGTTACTAATGAAAACGTTCAAATTTATATGAGATAGAAATTAACATACATGCCATTAGATTTGATTTGATAAAGTATAAAGCCCGCAAAAAAACAACAATTCCTACCAAGGATAATTGCAGAGGATAATTGAAGAGGCTATTTTTGGTTTGATCCTAACACCTGTCTGTAATCCTACAATTGATAAAATTAAATTTTAAAGGAATGATACTACTCCAAATATTCAATCAAAAGCTCCCTTTGATCCCCATAAAAATCCGATGCAGTCGCATGCAACCGCACCCACCCGCAGCAATTAAAACCATTAAAAGTTATATTTAGAGACTACTTTTCTATGAAGAAGTTTGGCATTATAAAATCTATACAAAATTTTCTATATAAAAGTCAGGTTTTAATTCATTACAAAAGACTATTGTATTTTGATAACATAAACAAAACATACCAAGCGAATGTCAGCAGCGTGAAAAACACAATTATTTCAATATATAGTACTTGAAATTATTTACATAAAAAGATAAATTATATTTACATAAAAACTTTCATTACAATTTTATAATAAAATACTATACTAAAACACTAGAAAAATCCAAAATTCACGCGAAAATGGATATAGTATAGTAGATTATAACCGTAGATTATAAATAATTATCCATAAGATAACTTGACTTTTTATTGTACTAGATTAAAGGATAGAAAATTTCATATTATGAATCATATAATGTCAAACTTCTTTATAGAAAAGTAGTCTTTAAATATAAGTTTTAATGGTTTAAAGAACTGTGGGTGTGCGCGGTCGAATTCGACTGCTTAAATTTTGACGGAATAGCACCGCGGTCGGATTCGACCGCTTGGGGGTTTGCTTGGGGTTAGCACTTAGCTGAAGGAAATCGAACACTTCAGTCCACTTGACCATGTTGTAAAACTTTCGTAATGTCAAATTTTTAAAAGAAGAAAATATAAATGCGATTAAATCAGTTAATTAACTTTACTTAAATAATTGTGCATAAAGGGGTCCGTGTAGTGGCGGTTGAGAATATCCACTACCCCATATCTTCCCGTGGATGTCGTAAGAGGCGACAGAGGGAGACAGGCAGGAGATGGGCAGCAGCATCTTCCTAATAACAACAATAATATAATAAAAAACTGCGGTTGACAACCCGCTCGCCAAGCGTGGCAACTATGGCAAATATCCCCCCATGAGTAACGACGCAAACAAACGGCCCCCAGTCCCCGGCGGCCCCACTATTCCTGGCTACGGTGGCGACCATGGTAACGCCGGGGTAGGGGGTGCTAAGAATCTTCAGTGGAGGTTCGGTTGCCACCTACGACGACTCGACCTGGCAACGTATAACGCACGCACCCTGAGGACAGACGAGAAGATACTGGAAATGGAAGAAGAGGTAGACAAGTTGCGCCGGCATATTATTGGATTATCCGAGGTCCGAAGAGAGGGGGAGGACACGGTAATCCTCGAGTCCGGCAACTTGTTCTATCACCGAGAGGGCGACCATCTGTCCCAAGGAGGTGTCGGATTTATCGTCCACAAGTCTCTCGTCAACAACGTTGTAAAGATTGTGAGTGTGTCGACGAGGGTCGCGTACCTGATACTCGGAATCACCAAACGATATTCGCTGAAGGTCTTACAGGTTTACGCACCAAACTCGGCACATCCCGATGAGGAGGTGGAGGAAATATATGAGGATATTTCTAGAGCCATGCATTCCTCCAAAACCCACTACACGGTGTTGATGGGAGACTTCAACGCAAAACTAGGCACAAGAAAAAGCGATGAGCTGAAGTTGGGGAAATTTGGAGTAGGGCAATGGAACCGTAGGGGCCAGCAGCTGGCCGACTTCATGGAGAAAGAGGGACTTTTTATGATGAATTCTTTCTTCCAGAAGCGGCCCCACAGGAAGTGGACCTGGTCGAGGCCCGATGAAAAAATATGAGATTGACTTCATTATGACGACCAGACGCCAACTGTTCGGTGAAAACTGGCAGCGATCACCGAATGGTTAGAGGCACACTGAATCTAAACGTTAAGTTGGAGAGGTCTCGTCTAATGAAGTCAACGCTCCGTCCCCCTCGTGCTCTAATCCAGAATACCGAAACCTTTCAGCTCGAGTTACGTAACCGCTTTCAGTGCCTAGAAGATTGCAATGCAGTGGACGATATGAATGACAACGTGATGGATGACGTGGAAACTGTCCATGCGGTCGGAGCTAAGTTCTGCAAGACCCGCCGCAAAAACTCTCCGATCACACTCTTAAAATCATGGCTGTTAGACGGGAGATGAGGCTGCAATCGTCAACAGATTTGACAGCATACAGTAACGGCAACTGAACAGACAGATCTCCAAATGCATGCGGCGAGACTTACGCAACTTTAATGCTGCTCGTATTGAAGAAGCGATTGAGCGGAACCAGGGCTCCAAAGTCTTTGGCAGAGATCTGTCTGCCAGAAAGAGCCAACTGTCAAAGCTGAAGACTGAGTGTGGCAGCATCGTTTCCGGGACACCTGAGATTCTGAGTGAGATTGAGAGGTTCTATGGGCAGCTGTACACAACATCGTTGGAGCCACACGCAAGTGTGAGTAACGATCCAAGAGCAATTCTTATCCGACACTATTCCGATGATATCCAGGACGTCAGTCTGAGCGAGATTACAAGGGCGAGTATTATTCCATTTACAGCGGAGCTTCTGAAAGCGGGTGGAAAACCGATACTTAAGTCCTTCAGAGGCTCTTTAATTCCGTCCTCAATGGTGGCACTACTCCGGAGACGTGGAGCAGAAGTGCGGTGGTCTTATTCTTCAAGAAAGGTGACAACGCCCTCTTGAAGAACTACAGACCGATATCCCTTTTGAGCCGCGTCTACTTGCTGTTCTCGAGAGTCATTACGAATCGTCTCGCACGAAGACTCGACGATTTCCAGCCTCCCGAACTAGCCGGTTTTCGAAAAGGCTTTAGTACCATAGACCACATACATACCCTTCGGCAAATTGTACAGAAGTACGAAGAGTACTATCTGCCACTTTGCCTGGCGTATGTGGACTATGAGAAAGCCTTTGACTCCGTCGAAATTTGGGCGGTGCTACAGTCTCTTCAGCGGTTCCAAGTTGACTGTCGGTATATCGAAGTGCTGAAGTTTTTGTACAGTAGGGCTACGATGGCTATCCGAATACAGAATTAGAGTACGAAACCTTTCCAACCGCAGAGAGGTGTAAGACAGGGTGACGTTATTTCCCCAAAACTCTTCACCGCTGCATTGGAAGACGTTTTCAAGCTACTGGACTGGAAAGGATACGGTATTAACATCAATGGCGAGTACATCACTCACCTTCGATTTACCGACGATAAGTATAGTCCTTATGGCAGAATCGCTGGAGGACTTAAGGACTATGCTCAATGACCTTAATAGTGCCTCCCAACGGATAGGTCTTAAGATGAACATGGACAAAACAAAGATTATGTTTAATGTCCATGTCACATCTGTGCCGGTAGTTGTTAGGAGCACTAAGCTCGAAGTTGTTGACGAGTACGTTTACCTGGGACGAATAATTCGACTAGGTAAGTCCAACTTCGACCGAGAGGTCAATCGACGGATTCAACTCAGCTGGGCAGCGTTCGTGAAATTACGACACATCTCGTCAGGTATACCTCAAAACCTGAAAACTAAGTTTAACTTTTAACAAGTTTAAATTAACAACCACTGCGTGTTACCAGTGATGACCTATGGAACCGAGACGTGGTCCTTCACTGCTGGCCGTATGAGAACGTTCAAAGTCGCTCAGCAAACTATGGAAAGAGCTATGTTCGGAGTTTCTCTGCGTGATAAACTTAGAAATGAGGATATCCGCAGTAGAACCAGAGTGACCGACATAGCCCAACAGATTAGTAAGCTGAAGTGGCAATGGGCCGGCCATATAGCTCGAAGAACCGACAACCGTTGGGGAAAAAAGGTTCTCGAGTGGCAGCCTCGTACCAGTAGGCGAAGTGTAGGGCGACCCCCCACTAGATGGAGTGACGACCTGATAAGACATGCAGGAAGTCGATGGATGCAGGTGGCTCAGGACCCTGCTTTGTGGCATACCTTGGGGGAGGCCTATGTTCAGCAGTGTACTTGTGAAGGGCTGTAATGATGATGATGATGAAAGTGGTATAAATAAAAAATAAAAAGGATTGAAATCATTTTTAAGATAAATTATACGTTACATTATTGTCATTATTTTCAGGTCTGTATTCATCTCAGGCATGAACCTGCCTCTGAAAAATTCTTCTCAGTGCCCTACAGACCTTTGGAAGAGCGTTGCGTGTACACTTCATGTCAAACCTTGTAGCAATAAGGTAAGAAGCTTAAAGGTTTCTGCATTATATTGTTTGCTTGTAGCAATGGAAGCACTTGAAGGTCTTGATATGAATTAGCTCATTTTCACTGAAAGTTCCCCACTCCCACCCCACTCTCGCTCGAGTACGTTTGTTAGCATTCGCTTACTATCGAATAATTTTAGTGGAAATATGCATAATGCTATAGACTAATATTGTAACATTAAATTATATGGAGTGTAAGGGGGGTACACTTTTGACTCTATTCTACATCACTTGTCTGGTTATAACAACTGACACGAGAGAGTTATATCGTCACCTATCTAGTAAATTATTACTGCTAGTCTCCATTGTTACTTTTTCGACGGCTACGCATACTAATTTGCATTGGAACACTACACTCTCACACTAGTATATTGGCGGTATAATACTGACGGTTTGGCATTTTCGAATGGGTACCGCCACTTATCGATCGTCAGAGACTCATTAATTGGCAGGTTGCATGGCATGTATGTAAGTTTGACATTAGGGGAATAAGTTGTCCATAATTTCCGTCAGTACCGTAGTCAGTTCCGACAGTACGTAAGCAACTTGGCTCCATTTACCGGCACATTCGAAATTGTTGACTGAAATTTATACTGCTTTTAATTTTTACCACGCGCCCGACAACGAAGGATAACATCGTAAGGAAACCTGCATGTCTCATAAAATATTTCGAGGACATTTGTGTGAAATGCACCAACATGGCGGTCTAAGCGTGGTCTAACGAACCGGTAACCTAGAAATGAGGGGTGGTATGTAGCCAGCAGTGGGATGTATGCTGTAAGTTTTCCTCATCTTCTTGCTGAGTTACGACCACACTGGCTACTTTCGATAAAATGTATTAAACAAACACGTCGTTATCACCTACCATGCCGGCATGCATAATTAAAGTATTTGAACTTTAAGTGCAAATACAACACGTGCCACGTAGACCACGCGCTCACAGAATACCAGCGTAAAATAGCAGCTTAAAGCTGCTGTATTTCGTATGGTGAGTGTTTTTTACTGGAAACTGGCATTCCATCTCAGTCCTCAGGGCTGGCAACGCATCTGCATTTTGGTTCTTAATTGAAGATAAATGTAGATGCTAGGCCAAGATCCACTACCATCGGTGGACTTTTTTATCATTCTAAAGACTATAGTCCTTCTAGAGGAAAAGAATTCGTTTATAAAGGTATTCAAATTCATCAGAAGGGGTTCTCTCCCACTCAATATCAAGAAGCTCATCCAATGTTTATTTTTTATTTTATAATCCATAAAACACTATTATAATTAGTTGATTTAGTAGTAACTTTTACTTTAAAGAACGCAATGGACAAATTTGCATGTGTTTAACCTATATACATAAAAAAAAGTTTGCGATCAGTTTGAAAAGTCGAAATCTTGTTTCTTACGGTAGACTATATTATAATGTCTTGTTCTTTATAGATTCTTCACTTAAAGATTTAGAATTAGAATATAAAACAATAAAGCATCACAACGCATCGCAACATAAAGTCTATGGGCCGCAGTGTGGCGGCGCTGTCGTCGCGCCACAATCGAAATACACCGAGCCTAAATCATAAACAGTATATATAGAACATCTCCGAACTATCACACGAAGTGTCGGCCGCTCCCCGGGCAGAACTGCTTGCCCGGCGGGAGATCTCCCCTCTTTCCTTCCACGGCCACAGTGGTGACCTCGACGTGATCTGAAAACGCAACCAAACAACCTTCGGAAACTTCAAGCTTCATCATCGTCATAGAATACCCCAACCATTCGCTCCCGAGCAGATATCATCTGCAGTCTTCATATCCTGCAAGCCATCTAGCTTCACAAGGTTCATCGCAGCACTGGAATAATAATGCTTCCTGTTCCTTCAAGCTACTCTCTGCGCTATACTGTGTTCGGCACGGCTCTGAGCCTTACTGCTCGCCTCTGCTTCACGGCACTCTCCCAGATTACTTGTCTTCTTCTCGACTCACCGCAGACTACAAGGCAATCTCCTGGCACTTGCACATTCTTCGACAACTCGACTGCAATATCGACCTCCGGTCTGAGCAGGGGGGTGATGTGGCGGTGCTGTCGTCGCGCCACAAGCGAAATACACCGAAGCCTAAATCACGCTATCAACATTCCGAATCATAAACAGTATATATAGAACATCTCCGAACTATCACACGGAGTATTGGCCACTCCCCGGGTAGAACACCTTGCCCGGCGGGAGATCTCCCCTTTTCCTACCACGGCCACACGCAGCAACCACTTACCTTCAGGTGGACTGTGTGCTCGTTTGTCATCCCATCCTATATAAAAAAAGCAAATTCAATTCTTTTTCCATATAAAAAGAAATTCAATTCAAGCTTACGAGGAAAGTTGTGATTTTTGCCAAAAGGATTATCAGAAGTTTTACGAGCAAGAATTGTAACTTTGAGGGAAGAAGGATATTCCACGAGAGAAATAGCACGCAGAGCTGCTGTATCACAATCCTGAGTCGTGGCCACGTTGCAGAGCTACCACGGCATGGATAATTCAGCTGACTGACCACGCAGTGGTCGCCCAACTGTACTGACTGTTGCTCAGAATCGATATATAAGGTTGCTGGCAGCCCGTGACCCAACAATCAAAGTCACTACATACAATAAAAGTAGAAGTGTGGGCTGCCTCTGGACTTGAATTGCTTACACCAGGCTAAACTACGAGCACGCAGGTCTTGGCGAGCACCCCCGAATACACGGCAAAGTCAGCGGCAGAGATTGCAGTGGGCCAGGCTTCGACAAAATGAAGAAGATGAAGAGGAGACTCCTCCTCCCATAGGGCAGATTTTCCTTTAACCACCATTCCCTGCAAGAGAAATAGTGATCAGCGTACTAGACGTCTCGCACCTTTGACGTTGCTTCTGGTCGCTGGTAATGTAAATTACGACTGTCGGAAAATAGATGCCGCCATTTATCGGAAGCCAAGTGATCGTTCTGGCATTTTCTATAATCATCTCTTAAACTCATGGCCTTAAATGGGATGATGGATTTTTTTACAAATACTCTGTGCTGCTTCGTTGGTGTAGTGATCATAAGTTCCAATGCAGGTCATGTGGTCGCGGTTTGGTATCCGGTTTAGTAATCGAGTCCAAAGTTCATGCGTGCGTGCGTCAGTGCACGGGTGCGTGTGTGCGGGCGTGTGCGTGTATATCCTACCTAAGTAAATTTTTACTCATTGGGTCCTACCAGCGATGTAATCTCTGAAAATACTAAGGAGTAAACCACGAATACCGATACTAACGTTTTAATTTAGAAATCAGTGTGGGGATAAAACTGTACCGAACGCTTTAGGGCTCTTGTACACACTTAGAAATTTCACCGTGTCTGCGGCAGATAAGATCAATTCATCATGTATACGACAAGTATTTTGTCGAATCTAGCCCTTAATTTGGCACTGTATGTACCGTCATACATGAACTTACAATTTACAAAATTACATCTTCCGTGTGGAAAATTAACATTCTTATGTTGTAACACTAACTGTTATTTGGTGGAAAAAATAAACATACATGTAGCAACATTTATTTTGACATAACTTGAAAAAAATGGCTACCCGGCGGACGTCAACTGCGTTGTCCAAGGTATTTATTCTATTATTATGAATATTACTTAGTTTAGGACAGGTGTAATGACTAAAATGTATGCTTTATTGTGTAATGGAATAAGTGTGATAATAATTGTGATGTTGCTATTGCATTGAATGGTTCTATTTTGATCACTAACATGATGTATGACGTGACATACACTGCCAAGTTTGTAACGAAACACCCGCCATTTTGTTTGTATGTCACGGCATACATTGCCAATTTGAGGATGCTTTTTTTATTTACTTGGTTTTATAGCACGCTTTATTTTCTTTGTCGGCAGCAAAAATTTCTAACTCGTGGTGGTAGAATTTTAGCGCTTGTGCCTGCTGAGCATGCACCCTCTGACGGTAGCGAAAGTTCTGACGATGAATTACGTGTGTGCAGCCCGCTTTCCGCGACATCTTCCTCTGCACCCTCTATAGATATCTCAATGGAAAGGCTCAATATTTTAGATGATGATGACCCCTCCGACCAGAATGTTCGACTCACACCAATTATTCGAAGCGTATATTCAAGCCCGTCCCTAGAACCAAATTGTAAAAAAGTGCCAATCCTGAGTGACATTCCGTCACTCCCAGCAACTCCCGCTACTCCTGCAACCCCAGCAACCCCTGCACTTCCTGAACCCCCCGCACCGCCTGAATCAACAGCAAGTGGCTCCATAACTGGCTTAGTTGCAGCTCGCATAAGGGCTTCTTCCAAGTCGCGTCCCAGAAATACCAGATCGCAACGGCCCACTGTTTCTGCTGTTAGACGACCTATTCAATCACCAAGTTCACTCTGAACTATCAGTGGAAAAAAACGATTTTTCGACACAAGGCAACTGTAGAAGAAGACTCAAATCACACCGAAATATTAAACGAAACTTCACTCGGTTATTTCTATAAATTCTTTTCCCCTGACGTTTTAGTAGATATCGTAGAGCAAACAAACTCATACGCAGTATTCAAAACTGGGCGCTCTCTTGGCTTGACCGAAGATGAATTGCGAGATTTTTTAGCAATTCATATTATCATGGGTGTTATTAGTATGCCCTCGTACACCGATTACTGGAGTTTGCGGTACAGATACGATCCCATAGCCGATTTGATGTCTCTAAAACGGTATCAACAAATCCGTCGTCATTTACATTTTGTTGATAACAATATACAAGACTCCGACATATATTATAAAGTTAGGCCTTTATAACAAAAAAATTCGAGAAAATTGCTTAGCTCAAGATAATGAAAAGAAATACAGCATTGACGAAATGATGATTCCCTATAAAGGGACCAAAGCGGGTAAGCGACGTAAATACATGAAGGATAAACCCAACAAGTGGGGCTGCAAAAACTATGTTCGTGCTGGAGTGTCGGGCATGATTTATGATTTTCTTTTGTATGGTGGCGAGGAACATTTAGATTTAATACTTTTACAGATAAGGAAGTTTCCATTGGATTTGGGGCTCAGGTTGTCATTGCTTTGTGTAAAAGTATAAAAAATAAACCGGCTTTTGTTTTCTGCGACAATTTCTTTACTTGCCCGGAGCTACTTTATATAGTTAGAGAAGAATATGGAATATTTGGATTGGGAACAACCAGGAGCAACAGGTTGAGAGGAGCTGAAGCAGTTCTGCCCTCATAAAAAGATATGAAAAAGTGGTCTGCGATAAAAAGCGATTAGCAATAGTACGGTGGAACGATAACAAAGCCGTAACATTGATAAGTTCTTACGTAGGTGCAGAGCCAGTAGAAAAAATTAAAAGATACTGCAAGGACTCTAAAAACAAAGTGGATGTAGATTGCCCTCAAATTGTCAAAGACTATAATAAACATATGGAGGGAGTCGATTTAGCCGATATGCTCATTTCTCTTTACAAAACCCCATTCAAGACCCGGCGTTGGTAAATCGGCATATTTGCGCAAATTCTCGACATATGTATCAATAATGCGTGGCTTCTATACCGACAAGATTGCTCAAAATCGCAAAAACAATGGAAGCCTCTCAAGGATTTTCGATTTGAGATTTCTGAGGGGTTGACAAAGTTCGGACGCACCCGTACCGATAAACACACAAAGCGTGTACCACAAGTCAACCCGGTAGAATCGTCACGCTATGACAGTGTTGGCTATTTTATGACAATGACCAGCCAAGGTCGTTGTAGGCTATGTTCAAAGCTAACGTCAGTGTTATGTATAAAATGCCAAGTCCGTCTGTGCTTTGTAACCGGAAAAAGTTCTAGGAATTGTCAATTAGACTACCATGTGCGGGTTTAGTAAAGTTGGCCATTTCTAGGCGTTGTCACCTTGTTTTTTTTTTTGCATTCTAGAAGAGGCCTTTGCCCAGCAGTGAGACAGTAACATTCTGGTGTAATGATTTATTATATTTACGCGAACACTACACATTGAAATAATACTATTTTTTACAGAATTTATCGCGTATATTTAACTTTTTAAATACCCGACGTTTCGAGAGCTTTACAGCACCCATGGTCACGGGAAGGACTGAGATGTTCAACGTCCAGATATCATAGTTAACCGCGGTTACCATAGATTAAAATTTAACTTTTGTTCAGATCTACACAGTATGAACTTATGGTATCTTGAAGTCTTGCAGTTGTATGCTTGGGTTGGGATTTAATTTTATTTATTATAGGATCCTAAGCAGATGGTAGCACCCAGCCATCTTCTCTATTGAAATTAGGATGTTTTTTGATTTCAATAGCCTCGCGAATCATCCTTGGAAGGAATCGGTGTTCTTTAGCGAGGATTTGTATCTATCAAATCTGATGTAGTGACGGGGGCGATCCTGTACGTGTTCACAGACTGCAGACTTCCCGGAGCGTTGATTCTTCACATCAACTATATGTTCTTTAACGCGGGTTTTAATTGATCTTTTAGTTTGTCCTATGTCCTGCATCTTGCAGAGGGACGTTACACTTGACTGGTGGTGAAAACTGACCAATCTTCTTCGGCAGCTTGAAGTATGTTTTACACTTTTGTAACACATTTTACATTTTTGTAACACCTATAAATGTTTACAAAAATTTTTATAAAAAAAATTATGATTTTATTACATTTTATTCTTTGCCAAATTAAGGGCTAGCAACGAAAATTTGTCTTGTCTGCTTCAGACAAGATAAATATAGACGTGTAAACGGTAAGATTGTTTTCGATAAGTCGTGCGTAGGGTACAGTGCACTAGTCACGTTTGTTTGTCATGAATAGAATCATGTTAACTATGAAGCAAAAAATGATTATTGAATATTATATATATAAAAAAAACGAAAAGGTACGTAAACACGTCCACACTTGTACAAAAAACTTAAATTATCTGAAGCAACTCACCTACTCCGCCCCTCCCTTCACCGCAACAACATAGAGCTCGTTTTGTCAAGCGCAGACAAGATTTTTTCTTTGTCAGTACCGGAGCATTGTACGCAGTTCGTGTGTAAAAACGACACGAATTCTTGCATAGACCCGGCGACTTTTCTTAGCGTGTACAAGAGCCCTTAGAGACGTCAAGAAAAATGCCGCTTGCTTGGTAGTTGTAGTCTGGGAAAGTTCAATTACAATATCTTCGCTAGATACACCAGGTCTAAAACCGAACTGGTTTTTAGCAATGATGTTAAAATTTTTAAGAATATTAGACAACGCGATATAATACGCCATAAATATCCCGTAGTTCATAAAATTATGCTGGATACCGCAGGATTGCGGTATCCCACTTTACTGGAGTGCAAACCCTAATTCCATCTTAGTCCATAGGGGTGACAACGCATCTGCATTTTAATTATTAATCAAGGAAAGATGTAGATGTCTATGGTTCACAATATCCATTTCGCATTGGGTGGACTGTGTGCTCGTTTGTCTATGCAGATGGCTAGTCTGGCCTGGAGTACTCACTCAGCATCGTGTACTGTGTGCTACGACAGTGTTGTGTGGTTGCAGGGGCATAGCAGCTTGATGTGCTTGGAAGACTGCATGCGGCTGGTGTCGTCGTGCGTGGAGTGGGCGCGCGTGCAGCTGACGGCGCCAGCGCTGTGCGCGCGTCTCGCGCCACCCCAACACGACGCGCCCTGCGTCTCCTTGCGGGATTTCGTCAACCCTAGTCAGTATCTCGTAACACCTCATACTTTAATCATTATTAAATTTAAGTATTTGCCTGTAATATTGATATAACGGATATTTTTTATGCTTTGGGAGCTTATTTCCATGCTATAAAGATATAAATTACCACTTTGAACATTTTTGTTTGTCACTTTATCTGCCCGGGCTAATCTTAGGAAAGGCTGAACCAATTTAGATAAAACTTTATGAACAGGTGCAATGCCAGCAGGGATCTGGGCTATATTTTATCCGACTTAAATCTAATGAACCCCAAATTAACAGACCCTACAGGTGAATCCGAGGTGGATTGCTAATTTATTAATGAATTTATGCCAGGTACAGAGCCAGCCCTGCTGTCAGCCAGAGAGGTGGTGACGTCGCCGTGCTCGGGATCGCCGTGCAACGCGAGCCAGCTGTGCGTCGTCAACCGCAGTTGCGCGTACGGCGGCACGTGCGCGCGCTACGCCTGCCTTGATGCCTGCCCACTCGGTCAGTGACACACTAACTAACTACCAGCCTGTACCATTATCGCCATCATGTCGTCATCATGACAGTATTTTAATATGCCTCCCTTAAGAAATATCCCACCCTTAAGAATATCCCTCCCTTAACAAATGCCATCAAACACAATCTACGCGATACCATCTGGAATCTCCCCATGGAATGCCATAAAGCACGATCCTGAGCCACTTGCATCATATATAATATCGTCATCTATTTATCAACTTACGCAACTTAATATATTTGTAGATAAATATCGATCCTAAATCCATTTGCTAAGGACGACTATTGCAGTTTGCAATGGAAATTAAATAAGCGGATGTATAATTTGTTACAGGTGATGGCAGTTCTTATATGGTTTCCTCTGGATCTTGGGTTCGTGTACCGATTCCGTGCTACGGAAACGACCTGTGCTACAAAGTTTGTCGTTGTGAAGGGCACACCTTTGCACATTGTCAGCAATTGCCGCCTATTTATCCCGACTCTACTAATTGCAGGCTACATGACAAGGTCGTGAAAGACGGTAAATAAGCTAAGGGGACGATTAAAATAATTCGGATGATTCCATTTTCATGACTAAACCATTAAGTGTGATTAGAGGCATGCCGCAAGGTTATATACTAGGACCAATATTGTTTTTGGCTCGTAAATAAGGCGGTTATCGCTAAAACGTTTAAAATAAATCATAACATTATATATGTGTACGCACACGAGTATGTAGGTCAAAGCTCAAATACATGTAGGACAATTTTGGTGGTGGATGGTTAGTAAAATGAAGACCTACATAATTCCCGTTACCATTAGGTCAAATATTAATGCATTGGCCATCAACACTTATAAGAGTAAATTTTGTTTATTTAATCTTGAAACATCAAACCAAATACATAATTATGTAGTAGACTTAATACAAATGTTGTTGTATTTAGTTGGCTTTCGAATTTTTTCCGCTTGACATATGTAAGTCACTGACCTCTATATATACAAGTGTATATATAGAGGTCAGTGTATGTAAGTTAATTGAAGGCAGATGTGATATAATATGGCTCTAAATTAAATTTATCAACTTCCAAAACTAATTTACGGATTTATCCGTTTGATTAATTGATACATTATTATATAACACTTTGTTTTGTTTGAATCAAAAATATGAAATTGCCAGGAAAGCTCACACGTTGACCGAGATACATAACGGTATGAATACCACAACGTTCAAAGGTTATATATGCTGGGGTGATTACGTCAAATCGTCCAAGCAAGCAAGCAAGGCTTAGACGAAGCCAGTGTTGGCTGACAGTTTCACTAGCAGCCAGCGCTGGCTTGTTATTACACTCGTACAAACAGTTTTTCAAGACAAACCAGCGCTGGCTGCCAGCACTAACGGGGATAAAGTGCCTGACTATTTTTATATCTGACTATTTATTGTTTATTTTAGACTAATATTCATTACATTATGACCACAAAAGTAAAGTGAAGTTAGTTCTCTTCGTACACATACACCGATCGCGATATGTATGTGTGCATGCTAAGCTAGTTTTATAAGTATTGATATTGCATATAAACTTATGTTTTTTTTAACTTAATTATGCCTCCTCGATCGGTAAATTTACTTTGTTTAGTGTCGTACAGCTCGCATCAATCTTTTTGCTGTGCTCTCGCAGCTTCAGAGCCACCAAAAAGGTTGACGCGGCCTGTACCTTTACTTTTAATATGCCAAGTGTTGATATAAATCACGTTTTTATCACAAAAAATCTTATTGGTTGGATGTATTAGATTAAAATCGGATTTATTTAATTTTATATTATATTAGTACAAAGATAGTATTTTTATTATATACTACTTAATTACCAAAGAACACTTTCTTCGTCCATAAACATATTTTTATAAAGTTCTCTCTCCTCTCTTGCAATTTCTGCTGAATGATTACTACCTTCATTAATAATACTCTGGTACATTGATTTATATATTACACTAGATTAGTAATTACCGCGCCAAAGCGTTGCCACAGCACATATGGCCACAGACATATGTCTAGCTATCGTCAGTTCAGTGTTTAATGTGACGTCGACAGAGTTAAGCCGAACGATCTGCGACAAAAAATGGGTAAATGCGTAGTGAAAGAATGCGATTCAAGGTCACAAAAACGTGATAAATCAAGCGGAATCACTTTCCACACATAAGTTTCAGTTCATGTTTTCATATAAACGTAAAAACCTGAAATAATTAAATAAAATTATCGAATATTGCTATTAAGGTTAAATGTTGCCACTTTTCCGCCTTGGTGATTATCCCACATTAATGGGAGACTATATAATTAATGGAGTAAGTTAATTTGTTACCTCTGATTTTAAATATTTTGGAAATCATAGTAAAAACTACGTTTCAACTTTCATAAAAAATAATTAATTATTCTTATTTTAGTTTATTCATGAATGATCTATTAAATATATTTTATTACCTGTTTTATATTAATAATTTCATATTGATTATAATTTTATTTTTTAATAAATTTTATATTAATTCTTTACGTGGTAGAGCCACGCTGCAGCTATATTATGGTGGTAGCATGAATGGGTCGGCTCGACCGGGGAAGGACCACGCTCTCAAAGAAAACCAGCGTAAAATAGCAGCTTAATGCTGCTGTGTTTCGTGTGGTGAGTGTAGAGAACCGGAGACCCGTTTTACTGGGATCGAGGCATTCCATCTTAGTCCTCAGGGGTGACAACGTCGTCAACGACGACAATCCAGTCATGAATATATCGCTTTGCCATTGCCTCATCCAAAGTTTTTTTATTCTTTACGATTTCTTTCTCCAATATATTGATCAAATCTTCTCTTAATGGTGCAAAGATGTTCTTTATACATTGCTTTTTCAATCACCACCGCTTTTGTCACGAATTCATTTTTTAAAACACAAAACGTGTACACACAACAAGAATAATCCAAGAGTTAAATGAATCCATTTCATCTACTATCCTCTATATATACAAGTACGCATTTGACCTCATAACAACGCGGGCCAGGCCAGTGCAGGCTTGTCTGAGGACCAGCGCCAGCGTTACTGGCTTTGTCTATACCCTGTTTTATATTTGAAAGACCTGTGTTTTGGAGTGGATTTTTAAGAGCCGATGAAGAAGATTAAAACGTAATCAATGTGTTCGACTGCTTAGGAGAGAAGTACTACATGGAGTGCAACCCGTGCAAGTGCGTGCTGGGGGAGCGAGTGTGCGCAGTGCGCGCGTGCGGGCGCGCTGCGCTGCTGACCGGGCTGCCGTGCAACTGCCCGCCGCACCACCTGCCCGTCACCGCGGCCGGCCGCCTGCACGCCAACGCCTGCCTTGCCAAGTGAGTGCTGCACGTGCTGCCGTGCAACTGTGCAACTGCCCGCCGCACCCCCTGCCCGTCTCCGCGGCCGACCGCCTGCACGCCAACGCCTGCCTCGCCAAGTGAGTGCCGCACGTCCTGCCGTGCAACTGTGCAACTGCCCGCCCCACCATCTGCCCGTCGCCGCGGCCGGCCGCCTGCACGCCAACGCCTGCCTCGCCAAGTGAATGCCGCACGTGCTGCCGTGCAACTGTGCAACTGCCCGCCGCACCATCTGCCCGTTACCGCGGCTGGCCGCCTGCACGCCAACGCCTGCCTCGCCAAGTGAGTACCGCACGTGCTGCCGTGCAACTGTGCAACTGCCCACTGCACCATCTGCCCGTCAGCGCGGCCGGCCGCCTGCACGCCAACGCCTGCCTCGCCAAGTGAGTGCCGCACGTGCCGTCGAGCAACTGTGCAACTGCCCGCCGCACCACCTGCCCGTCGCCGCGGCCGACCGCCTGCACGCCAACGCCTGCCTCGCCAAGTGAGTGCTGCACGTGCTGCCGTGCAACTGTGCTATTACCCGATGCACCACCCGCCCGTCACTGCGGCCGGCCACCTGCACGCCAACGCCTGCCTCGCAGAAACCGTGTTGACGGTAACTAATGAGCTGATGCTTTTTGAGGTATCGCATGAGCTGGCAGTTAATAATGGATTCCATTATTTGGGAGAACAAGGCGGCGATAGACCTGTAGTTGGACGGGTCCGAGCTGCCACCTTTTTTAAGGGATGGAATGCACTAAGACTTCTTTCGCCATTAGCGTGGGACGACGCCTAAAGAGTAAGAGAACCGGAAAAGAAGAGTAAGAACCGGTACCAATTCTGAAGTCACATGTCTTCAGTACAATTGGGGTGATTTCATCAGGCCCTCTCGACCTCTTGATGTCTAGGGACAGAAGAGCTTTGCGCACTGAGCGATGTGTAAACAGCACATTGTAGAATTCACAGTGAGCGTAGGATAAGGTGCTGCAGTGATTTAGCTCGTTTGCCTCGAGTAGTATGTGTACAGGGCAGAAATGTACCACCGGATACCTGAACTCACCAGACGAAACGCGAGGGCGTGGTACTACTCCGGTCGAGCCGGCCCATTCGTGCAACAGCAAAAGCTACTGCGTGGCTCTATCACGTTAAAATTTGGCTATAAAGTTCATAAAAAACTCCTAGTGATTTTATTTATGATAGTTTATTTAACTTTCACTAACCTTTAATTGAAATTCGAAGGTATTCAAACAAAAAATTGAACGCAGATGTGCTGGTGTACCGGACGTGTTCATCGAGTTCGGGACACCGTCACCATGCGCGAGCGTGTCGTGTCCACGTCGTCACGTCTGTCTGCCCAAGAATGCTGTGTGCCTCTCGCAACTTTCGAATTCTTGCCCACAGCATGTTTGTGGTGAGTCAATTTTTGTAACTCAGAACTCGCACGCATTGGAATGTTTTCGGATACATGAAAAGACAAGGCTATAATATTAGAGTTCTCAATACGAGATTTAAAATTCTAGTATTTAAGAATACCTTAAAAAAGGCTCTTATGGGTCTACCTATAGGTAACACTTTCTTATTATTTTTCAAATAAGAGGGGGCAAACGAGCATACAGCTCACCTGATTATTGGTGTCGACCGCCACCCATGAACAAAAGCAACACCAAGGGAACTACAAATGCGTTGCCGGCCTTTTAAAAAGGAGTAAGCTTAGTACATTGGACCCCGCTAATCTGGTAGTACATTGGCCCCTTCTATTTTTAGACCTATTTCTGCACTGCCAACACTTGTAAAAAAAAATAATGTAAATAATTTACTTCATAAAAATCAATGCGATTTCACAAGGGGTCGCTCGACAACTGATGCTGGTATTGAGCTGATTAAATATATCCTCAATGCATCGGAAAATTCACAGGATGCTTTGGGTATATTCTGTGACATATTCAAAGCCTTCGATTGTGTTTACCATGAAACATTAAAATCAGGAAACTTCAACACTACGGTGTAAGAAGTGATGCTCTTAAATGAATTATTTCATATTTAAGTAACAGAACGTAAAAAGTTGTCATTATTTTCAGTATGAGTTCTTTCGGGTCGATTGTACAAATGGGCGTGCCTCAGGGCTCAATTCTCGGCCCCTTTCTGTTTCTTGTATATATCAATGACTTACCTAACATAGTAGGGGACAACCATGATATAGTATTTATTATTTGCTGATGATACCGCATTAATTTTCAAATTAAAACGACAGTTATTAAATTACGACGAGGTAAATAATGTTATAGCGAAGTTAGTCAATTGGTTTAATGTTAATAATTTGCATTTAAATGGAACTAAAACTAAATGTATGAAATTCGTAATTCCAATTGTCAAAAATGTTAATACTAACGTAATTTTAAATGGGGAGGAGCCGAGTCTTGTTGATACCACCATTTTTCTTGGAATCACACTAGACGCAAAGCTTCAATGGCTTCCCCATATACCAAAACTAGCTAGCAGACTTAGTTCTGCAGCATATGCTGTAAAAAAGATTAGAACTCTTACCAGTGTTGAAACAGCTAGAATAGTTTACTTTAGCTATTTCCATAACATTATGTTGTATGGTATTTTGCTATGGGGACACGTGACTGACATTGAAATTATATTTGTTTTACAGAAGAGGGCCATTAGAGCAATATATGATTTAAAACAAAAAGAGTCGCTCAGACAAAATTTCTTCCAGGTCTCCAAGTGGTATCGGTATCACTATTAATATTCTCTTAGCAATCATGAGAAAACGCCAATGGCGTTATATGCTAAAGTTTAAATGGACACCATTATAACACGGAGGAAAAAAGTTTTTGTTTAGCCTGCACTTTACTTAACTAGTTATTTTTTTCCAATATATATAAATTGAAAATAATAAAATATAGCGGTTGTAAACCCCCCTGCTAAGCTTGGCAATTCTAGCAAATAAAGCATCCCCATCAATGCGGGTTGCCTATGTTCTTTTTAGAATTACGGTGACAAACGAGCATAGAGTCCACCTGATGGTAAGCGAATGCTGCGGCGCATAGACTACATTTATATCTACATTTGTCCTCGATTTAAAATCAAAAAGTAGATAAGATCGAATGCCTCGTTTTCAGTAAAAAGGGTCTCCGTTTCTCTACACCCACCATACGAAACACAGCAGACTTAAGCTGCTATTTTACGCTGGTATTCTGTGAGAGCGTGGTCCCAACCTGGTGGAGCCGACCCATTCGTATAATTTTTAAAATAAAATAAAGTAAATTCATGGCATATTATTTTTCTTTTAATGTTTCAGTAAACACTACGAATTGCAAATCGCAACCTGCAATGCCAGTGTGTGACACAGAAGGCCGAACACACGTCAGCCCCTGCCACCTTGTTATGAGCCGAGCCACCGTTGCTTATTGGGGGCATTGTCTCAAAGGATGTGCTAAGGTATGTTCTGTAACTTTAGGGTTCTCTAAATTAATAAATATGTTAGATACACATATTTATTGTGTGTAAAATGTCTTAATTTTTTATTTCTAAGAAAAAGGAATAATGTTTCATATGAAATCTAATATACTACATAATGTCCACTTACACCACAAACTCCAGACCGAATTTCGGCCACGGTGGCCTGCCTTAACGGAGGCCAGCCATCGGCGCAGGACAGGATTATAGTGCCAAAGTGTATGCGAAAGCACAGCACTCTCTATTCTCTCACTCTCATAATCCGATGGGACGGTAAACCGACACGACCGGAGAGAGATCAGGCGCAGGACCATCGGCTTTACGTGCTTTCCGAGGCACGGGGGTGAGACACCGCCAACTTCCCGACTCCAGGCAGCTACTAAGAATTTCTTGACGGAAAAACTCAATAATTGATTTTTGGCCCGATCCGGGATTCGAACCCAGGGCCTCATGATCAGCAGTCGCACTACTACAACCACTAGACCAACGAGGCAGTCAATATACTACTATTACATTACATTACACGGTAAATAGTAATATACTACATATATTATTACTATTTACCGTGTAATGGCGGTATAAGAATATCCACTACCTCATATCGTACCGTGGATGTTACAAGAGAGCCGACAGAGAGAAACAAATTATAAGATGAGCAGCAGCGTCTTCTAAATAACAGTTAAGAATAAAATCTGCAGTTGCCAACCCACCTGCCAAGCTCTAACTATAGCAAATAATATGAGACAGTCTAGGGGGGGTGGGGCTGTACTCATCAGTGAACTTCTGATAGGCTGTAACGAAACGTTACCATCATTAAAGTACGATTGAGAGTGTCGAGCAATATTATCACCCGCAATATTATACCCTGATCAGAAATTAATTTTAATTTTCAGACTGGAACTGTATGTGGGGTGAACGGTGTAACCTACACATCAGAGTGTGCTGCTTGGTCAGAATACGTAAGCGTTGATTACCTTGGACCTTGTTTCGCAGTTGGCCCTATATCTGACCTAATGGAACCTAAATGTGAATTCGATAGAATCGTTTGCCCGCCACTTAAGAGACCAAAATGCCTTGGCTTCACTGCTCCGGGCGCTTGCTGTCCAAAATGCGGTGGCGCTTTGAGAATACTTTACGCAAAGAAACAATTTGATAGAGCGTTGTATGGAACAAACATCTCTGATAATGTGGTACATTTAAATAACATACTTAAAACTTTAGAAAGGCATATCAAAATAGCCGAGTGCGCTTTAAGAGGATATTTGACGGTGGAAATGGAACTTTTCATTTCAGTTGAAACTCTTTTGGATAATCCTACAGATTTACAACTAAGCGTCTGTGTTCTTGAAGCGGAGAAGTTAGCTGATTTGATAAATAGAGGGAGTGCGTTAATAAATAGCGATGTAGCTTTGTGTGCACTATCTTATGCTATTCCTGTACACACACATCCAACGCAAAGTTCATGCTGTATCCATATTTCAAGTATTTTATTATTATTTTCATTTTTCATTGCGTTTATTTTAAGATAAAGTTATAAAATAAAATTTATTTATAAAAAATGAAGGTCAACACAAGCATCTTGGTATAAAGGCTTAGTAACATTATTAAAACATGTATATTATATATACAAAACGGAGTTTTTCGTATATGTATGTTATACCTACAGTTATGTATAAACTTAAAATGTAGATACTATTTGGACTAGTACCATTAAGTTATGTGTTTAGCCCTTTTTCTTTAATATGGCTGTATTTAATTATAAATATAATCTGTAAATAGGTTTTGTAAATAAAGTAAGTAATAAAACCAAATAAATGTGCCATCTGAAGCAATGTAGAGATACCGTATACAGGACAAAGGATACGCTTTGAAATGCTTTATATTTACGATAGAACACAGTTGTACGATTAAGAGTTGTATTTATTTTGCTGTGAGTTCAATGTGCCATCGTTTAGATGTTGTTGTGTCGTAGATATATATTTTATAGTACTTAGGGTTGCCATTTGTCTTAGTAAAATATATAGCCTTAGCTTGACATGTCATACTGAACTGTTTATGTGGGAATTCTGAAAGAAATTAGAGCAAGTAAGATACTACTATATGCTTAAAACTTTACGTTATTTTAAAGATAGAGATAGAACATCTTCTAAATTTGTAAATTTTCACAGGAATTGTGTTATTCCTACTAAACCTCAAAATTAAGTTGGTTCTAAATAAAATAAAATAAAATTTAAGATAATACATGTTGGTAATTGATATTAGAAACATATGCAAAATATTTAGTAACGATTGAAGCGTTTCAAATGCAAGTATCATGGAGGTTAGAGAACAGGAGAACGATCGCCGTAGAAAATAATGTCCCAGAAATATGGACACCATAAGTGAGGCGCTGCGATTGCTAAGTTCGCCCAATAAAAGTCATTTTCAGTCTATTTTTCAGATCAGATGCTAAACCACTTGCACATACACGCACAATAAAATATTTCTCTATTTTCAATGTTTCTTTTGTCAAAAATTACAAAATTACGGAGCATGAAAATTTTTTCACCAATGCTGCGAATTAAATTTGTACATTATTCAACTAACTTCATAAATAGCTAACCTCGCAGTCACTACTTAACGACGTCAGCGCCGCTATAAATTCTACAATTTTCAAGGACAGGCGGGCTATGCTTTAGTACGTAGCGATCGCTCTCCTGTTCTTTAACCTCGATGGCAACTATGTATATGACGTTAGTGCTAAAGTAGTTTAAGTTTTTGATTATTGACATCTGGCAATCCTATAAGTAGGAGATTTTCTAACAAAAATGTATTATAAGTTGGACTGAAAATAAGCTATGCTATGATAGAAGTACAAAAGACAGTTTACGATGTAGTCCATAATACCAAATAGTGTATAATTACAACTCTATAATTTGTTATATTTTGTTGATACAGATTTTTAGATATGTATATTGTAGGAGGAAGTATATTATGTGCTAAAAGCTGAATTAAAGGAGTATTAAAATGAAACAATCATGATATCATTGTTTTATTTTGCAATTAACTAACACTGAACATGGAGGATTATATAGTTATGATAATAAGTTGAATTATATTATCACATGTAATTGATCACTTATAATTAATTTCGATTAATTATTTTTATCGAAAAACATATTTATTCTGTCCAATAGCTGTGGTTCAGTCACGGTTTTGGCAAGTTGTAGAAACCCATTGTTAAGGACAGGGTTGACAAGTTGAAATCTTTCTATCGGAAACGTCAGTACAAGTTCTAAGTATGCCATTAATATACTTTGCAAGCAAGATCGTCGCACGTCCATATCCTGGAAATATATAATAATTTAAGACACATAAATGTACATTTTAAATAAAAATAAACAAATATTGTAGTTGAAAGGGAATATATCAAACAGTTACGTTTGTGGTGCAGTGGCAACGTGGTGTTGTAGGTGAGTTTATCGTCGGAAAGATGTCGGATTTATCGTCCACAAAGCCCTTATTAACTTGTTCAATATACAAAGTGTATCGACAAGGTTTACGGACCTCATACTCAGAATTGATGTAAAAAGTTAGTAAAGTTACAGCCTATATACGTCCCACTGCTGAGCACAGGCCTCCCCTCAGTTCTGAGAGGGTTTTAGGGCAAGGAAGTGTCCGCCGCGCTGCCCCAATGCGTGTTGGCGAACTTCACATGTCTTTGAAATATTTTTTTATTTCTCAGACATGCAGGTTTCCTCACGATGTTTTCCTTCACCGCTGAGCACGTGGTAAATCAGCACTTAAAATTGCAATTACCCATTTCATTGGTGCCGGCGGGGATCGAACCCGGGTTACTCGCATTCTATTATATTTACAGCGAGCGTTAACCATCTGAGCTACCACGGCTCTAGGTTGATGTATGTTTTGCGTCAAATAGGTTTATCCACCACATGAAATTTAAGAAGTTTTCTAGAGATATTTACATCTCCCATCCGATCCAGACCCGGCAGTTCTACATAAAATGAGTTTGACTTCACTATAACAACCAAGCCAGTGATATGGCTTGGTTGTTATAGTGAAGTTGAAAAACTGGAAGCGACCCTTGAAGCCTGAGGAAAGTGTAAATAGCAACCCAAGAGGACATCAATCTGCACGAGATTAAAAGAGCTCTTAAGCATCTTAAACGACAAGGCGGTACTTTAAGTCCCTCAGAAGCTGTTCCATTCCATCCCATAATGGCACTCTACTCCGGAAGTGTGGAACAGTAGTGCAGTAATCTTATTCTGCTAGTACCATATTACACATGAAATATATTCGGCAAATGTATAGAAGACCATAGAGAAAACAATCTACCACTTCGTCTTGCGTAATTCAATTATTCTGACATTGAAACAATCCTAGGATTCCGTCTAAATTTGCGCGGTGTCACAGTTCCTACAGTGGTACCAAATTGACTATACTGAAAGTAAAGAATCAAGGCGATTGAATTGTTTGCACAGTAAGACTATAGTTATTGGAGTACATAATCAAAGTATGAAAATTGTCCATATTCAGGAAGGTGTATGATAGAAAAAATAACGCCATAACGCCGAAACTCTTCACCACCGCATTAGAAAACGTTTTAAAGTAGTTACTTCAAAACTACTGATTTAAAACTTAAACCTGTAGTTTTTGTGTGCTTGGAGTGTTATGGAAAAAGCGTAGAAATTATGAAAAAGTGTAGAATAGTCGATAGTAGAGGGATTGAAAATCAGATAAAGCATACTCCAACCGATGAATGCAGAAGGCTCAGTACTTTTTTGTGGTGTTACTTAAGTTAGGTCTACGTTCAGTAGTGGACTTATGAAGGGTTGTAGTGGTTAATATGTCATGTGTGGTAATCATCATTCTAATTTAATACATTTTTTTCTCTAGATCTCCTGGTAACAGTTCATTGCTGGATCGTCATGTAGTAGTAACGTAAGAGAACCTATTATCTTATTACGTAACTCATCCCCATGGGTGCAGATATCATAGCCATACAGATAGATGGCAATATCAACCATGTACATCAGTTATAAAATACCTTGATCGGTAACAAACAGCAGGATCGAGTCTACCTACAATATGTGGCGATTATGTACATCCTCAAAACTATTAGAGGAAACCTTGCCCAGCAATGATTCTGTTAACTTATAAATTTCCATACTTGTGAGGTGAGACATAGTAAAATTGAAAAATATTGCAGCTTATAAGGAAGTTGCGTAGAGTAACAAAACCATCTTACTTTGTTTATACTTAGTGTTCTTTGTTGTTCGATCTCCGGAGGTACAGGCTGTGGAGGAATAATTGACTCTGGAGTTTTATTCTTTTCAAAGATAGGTCCATCACATATTGTAATGTTGACTTTCCGTGTGCTCGTTTGATTACTATTTATATTTGATGTACTATCAACTTTAGTTTTTAGTGGACTCTGACCAATTTTGGAATTGTTTATCGATTTACAGGTAATTTCTTCGATAAGTTCGGGTTTACTTTTTTCGATACAAACTTCATCTGTTTGAATAGTATTAATTTCGTCATCTGTTGTAGCATCGTGACATTCAAATTTTTCTCTTTCTTTGTCTTCAGTTTCAATTACAGACTTATTGCTGTTGGTTTTAAAGTCTGCAAATGTAAATGGTTTTGGTGTATTAATAGCTTCCTTTATATGGTCATCATTAAATTCCTTATCTGAAATATTGGTTGATGGTTCTGGTATTTCTGGCATTTCTTCAGCATAATATTGTTCGTAATTATTGGAAGACGATTCGCTTTCTACGGAGCTGCAGGATAAATGATCCTTAAAAATATTTGGTTCATCAAAATCTGTCACGTTGTTTGTGTGCTTGACAAAGTTGTTACAAAGTGATTCCCAAGTCGTTTTTAAATCAAACAATTTTCTTACAAATCTGTCGTAATCCAGAGTTAAATTAAATGAGTTTGTATAATTATTTAAAATTATTGATATATCTGTAGGTTTAAGCTTATATCTATAAACACCACTAAAGAATATTTCTGTGAGTGTTATGATTTTTATTAACCACGATGAAGTAGTTTGTTTATAAAGATTGGCAGCATAGTCCAAATTGGAAACTTTCTGAACTAAAAATTTTAAGCCGGGTCGTAAATCAAACTGCATAGCGCGCATATATGACATTTCGAGGCTTTTCAAGAGCAAATCGATGTTATTGTTATTTAAGAAAAATTTATAGTTACATACATTGGATCCACTTTTTAAACTTTCCAGCAAGATACTATTTATTCCCTGAAAGACGTCGGAAGATGCTTGTATCAGAACCGTAGCAATTATCTGTATTAATATTTGATGAGCTAATAGTCCTACTATTAGTCCCCTGTAAGGTATCCTCACGGTGTAAAATTCTGGATTAAGTGAGTTAATGGATTCTTGAAGATAAACAAGAAATATGTAACTTCGATCATCTATCAACATTTGATTTTGATTTTTTCCATTTACTTTCGCATTACTATCTCCCCTTAGCTGTTCTGTAAGGAATACTTGTTGAGCCATTGCATGTAATCTCACATTATCGTTAACTGAACAATCGCGTCTTGCTGCTACTTTAACAATAGCCAAATCTCCATAAAAACTGTTCGAATTTTCTTTGAAGGCGTACGTTATTTGTTTTAAAGGACTTAAGCTGACGTTACAAGCTCGGTGGAGACTTGTACAAACTATTTCCCATTGGTTGTCCGTTAATAAATGCCCAGATGTAAGTATTATATGTCTTATACAAGATGCGCCCAATCTAGCTACGGGTTCTTGTGGTTGAGCTATACATTCTACTAATATCAACAATGTCTGTTTTAAAGCGAATGTAGCCTCTGCATTTTCTACAGGTTCAATCTCTATTCCATCGTTAGTAGTTTCATCGCTTGTAGACCGCTCAATGTTGATTTGTTGTAAATTATACAGAAATACTACAATGGTGTCAGTTGTCATGCCGCAACATAGCTTGAAATTTGGCATTATAGTATCCCAATGAGTGTTGACATTAGCAATTTGTCTTAACCAATTTTGTAGCGTGGGTAAAAGAAGATGGTTAATACAATGAAGGCCAAAGTGTGTTCCAGGTACATCAATCGTACTTTTCAACAATTTGAATAGTGTTTCCATTACTGCTGGTTGATTTTTCTTTGAACATACCACAGTTGCTGATATCAGGCCCTCAATAAGCACA